AGGTGTATAGTTAGACAGGTGTACAGGTGTATAGTTAGACAGGTGTACAGGTGTATAGTTAGACAGGTGGACAGGTGTATAGTTAGACAGGTGGACAGGTGTATAGTTATACAGATGGACAAGTGTACAGGTGTATAGTTGGACAGATGGACAGATATACTGTATAATTAGACAGGTGTATAGTTAGACAGGTGGACATGTGTATAGTTAGACAGGTGTACAGGTGTATAGTTAGACAGGTGTACAGGTGTATAGTTAGACAGGTGGACATGTGTATAGTTAGACAGGTGTACAGGTGTATAGTTAGACAGGTGTACAGGTGTATAGTTAGACAGGTGGACAGGTGTATAGTTGGACAGATGGACAGATATACTGTATAATTAGACAGGTGTACAGGTGTATAGTTAGACAGGTGGACAGGTGTATAGTTGGACAGATGGACAGATATACTGTATAATTAGACAGGTGTACAGGTGTATAGTTAGACAGGTGTACAGGTGTATAGTTAGACAGGTGGACAGGTGTATAGTTATACAGATGGACAAGTGTACAGGTGTATAGTTAGACAGGTGGACAGGTGTATAGTTATACAGATGGACAAGTGTACAGGTGTATAGTTAGACAGGTGGACAGGTGTATAGTTGGACAGATGGACAGATATATAATTAGACAGTTGTACAGGTGTATAGTTGGACAGGTATATAGTTGGACAGGTGTACAGGTGTGTACAGGTGTATAGTTGGACAGATGGACAGATATATAATTAGACAGTTGTACAGGTGTATAGTTGGACAGGTGTATAGTTGGACAGATGGACAGGTATATAATTAGACAGTTGTACAGGTGTATAGTTGGACAGGTGTATAGTTGGAGAGGTGTACAGGTGTGTACAGGTGTATAGTTGGACAGATGGACAGGTATATAATTAGACTGTTGTACAGGTGTATAGTTGGACAGGTGGACAGGTGTATAGTTATACAGATGGACAAGTGTACAGGTGTATAGTTAGACAGGTGGACAGGTGTATAGTTATACAGATGGACAAGTGTACAGGTGTATAGTTGGACAGATGGACAGGTGTATAGTTGGACAGATGGACAGATATACTGTATAATTAGACAGGTGTACAGGTGTATAGTTAGACAGGTGGACAGGTGTATATTTAGACAGATGGACAAGTGTACAGGTGTATAGTTAGACAGGTGTACAGGTGTATAGTTAGACAGGTGTACAGGTGTATAGTTAGACAGGTGGACAGGTGTACAGGTGTGGTCACCTGCTCCGATCACTTCCTCTATCTTAACAAAGGAGGCATCAATCTCCTTGGTGAACTCCCTCACAGCCTGGTTAGGGTCCTCATAGGTGAACGGGTCGATGTAGACCTTCATTGCTATGACAACATGACATCATCATCAGAATACATCCTGACCAAGATCCTGACCTCTCATTGGTCCATCTGTAAGGCTGGCTGTGATTGGCTGAGAGACTCACTCTGTCCCATCTGGTAGTGTCCTGCCTGATCGCTGCCACCACGCTGCTGCTGCCGCCTCCTGCTGTGAGACAGAGACAGAGAGACAGAGAGGGACAGAGAGAGACAGAGGGACAGAGGGACAGAGAGACAGAGAGAGACAGAGGGACAGAGAGAGACAGAGGGACAGAGAGAGACAGAGGGACAGAGAGAGACAGAGAGAGACAGAGGGACAGAGGGACAGAGAGAGACAGAGGGACAGAGAGAGACAGAGAGAGACAGAGGGACAGAGGGAGACAGAGGGACAGAGAGACAGAGAGAGACAGAGGGACAGAGAGAGACAGAGAGAGACAGAGGGACAGAGGGACAGAGAGAGACAGAGGGACAGAGAGAGACAGAGAGAGACAGAGGGACAGAGAGAGACAGAGGGACAGAGAGACAGAGAGAGACAGAGGGACAGAGAGAGACAGAGAGAGACAGAGGGACAGAGGGACAGAGAGAGACAGAGGGACAGAGAGAGACAGAGAGAGACAGAGGGACAGAGAGAGACAGAGGGACAGAGAGACAGAGAGAGACAGAGGGACAGAGAGAGACAGAGAGAGACAGAGGGACAGAGGGACAGAGAGAGACAGAGGGAC